GGTCCTTTCAAAGCGGCGCGCAGGCCGGCGCCGCCTCCGTGGCCTCCGCCCCTGGGCGCGCTGACTCCGTCTCTGGGCCGCGAGCCCTCCCCGCGGCCCTATCGCAGCTGCGATCTCTCTGGCGTTTGCAGGAAAGGAGCTATTTCTGGCAGCTCTGTCCCCCACCCGCCGCCTAGTCTGACCTCCTGGGGATTCTCGGAGCTGCGGCGCTGGCCCAGCGCAGGGGGCAGCAACACCGCTGCGCGCACGCAGACCGCAGAGGCTTTCGATGCAGGCTTTTTGTTTACATGATAATTTGGAATATTTCTCATTTCAACAAATCTGCCACCCGGTGGACTGCAGTTCTCCCAGCCTCCCGTATGTCCGCGTTCTCGGTGCCCACCGTGCCTGGGTCCTGGGGAAACCTGTGTTTTGGTCTTGAACCCGTTCAAAGCCTCAGATGCTTTTTCCTAGCTGAGTTGCGGGATTCTGCCAGGAGGAGGAACTAGAGTTAGCCCGTCTTCTGAATTCCTGTTCTCCTTTCCATTTCTTGGATTTAATCTCCCTTTTTCTTGGGTGTTCCAGAATGCAAGTACCTTTAGATTTCACCTTTTCTTCTGCACCCCAAGTACACTTTGCGTTCTGTTTTCCGTCCTCTCTACCAGTAATATTTAGGTTTTTTCAAGAAGGTCATGTGTGCAGTAACTGTACTGGGCTCCCAGGCATAGGGTGCAGGTGTCAGAGGCAGGGGCCCAGGAGGGCAGTCTTTTTCTGGGATCACAGTCAGCCTGGGCTGATTTAGCGTGGTCTGGGACTTGAGAGCTGCTTCACCACTGGCCCGGGGTGGCTCAGAGCGTTTGGAACCTTCTCACTCTTGTATAGCTGGAGGCCAGGCCCCTCCATATTCCAGGAGCCCACTGCCATAGGAGCGGTCCCTGTAATGGAAGAATTGCCTTCTGCAATGGAGCTGACTGTGCACTGAACTTGGATGGCTCCCTTCTCACTGATTGATCCCTGGCTCCCTCATTCTGACCACAAATGCCTTCAAACTCAACATTCCATTATCAATAATCCATTCACAGTGCCCCCCTCCCCAACTTTGGGAAAAATCCTGATTCTCTCCTCAAAAATGACTCTGACCTCTGAAGAGAGACAGCAGTTTCAGTTTCTGTATGGAAATAAAAATGCATGCCTTGAGCCCCTATTTGTGTATTGTGATATCCAACCAGGGATAATGAAAGAGATCACAATTCTAAAGCGACTTCTCTGAAGGTCATAGCGACCTCTAACTCATCACAGCCAGTCCTAATCCTCCTTCCCATTAAGCTCTCTGGAATATTGCACCGAGTTGTTCAGCCAGGCTCCCTCTGGCAACTCTTTGATCTCCGTGACTGTGCACCAGCCTCTGGCCTCCCTCTCCCCCTCCTGGTTCCTAGCTGTGCATGGGTGCAAGCCTGCGTGGTGGGTAACTGCTGTTTTACAGGTGACTCTAAAATTGAACTTTGGGTGCTAAACACCAGGCCCAAATCAGGTATCTGTGAGTGGTCCGACTGCCATCATCTTAAATGCAATATATTCACCAGTTTGTTTATTCAAATGATGTTGAGCACCTAGCAGTCTGTGTTCCTGGTGTTGGGGACACAGTAGTGAACAAGGCAAAACAGGAAAGTGCTTGCTGTGACAGGAGCCAGAGTTAATGGGGGCGCGATCCCAGCTGAGCTCTGGCCATGCTGTGCTCCTCCGTCCTGGGCCTCGAACACTTGAAGTCTGCTCCATGTCCCTTGATGTGTGCTTCTTACATCCCATCGAGCCTCTTGGTTCTTCCACCACCATTTCACCCTACCCTGCTCTTCCCTTGCTATGAATACTCCCCTAGGATGGGGGTTCCGAATCTCTGACTGCTTTTAGATTCTGATCCAGTCTCCCCCCGCTGCTAGATTATTTTTCAGAAAGAACAGATCTGATCAGTTCCACTAGTTGCTCAACAGACATAGATGGGGACTTCCTAGGTGTCAGGGCTGGGCTATGTGCTGAAGTGACAGAGCAGCAGAAGAGGCAGCCTCACACATCCCTGCAGATCTCTCCACCTGCTCAGTAGGGGACTTGCCCTGGGAGTGAATTAAAGCAGTGTGATAACTGCTCCGATAGGAATATGCCTCCTCACCATCCATATTATTAAAACAAAGATTTAACACTGGGCGTACAAACCCCCCCCCCCCCCCCCAACCTGGGCCTTGCTACATTTCCTAACATGTCTTCCTCTACTCTGCTTCCTGTCCTCACGGCCACACTGTGCTATATGCCTCTTCCGCTGCCTGCCACGCCTTTCCTGCCATTCTGTTTCTGTCTCTGCCTTTTCTCTTTGTCTATAGTGCACTCCCCTCGCCATCACTACCAGTTAACATTCTCTCTCTGTCCTCTAAGACCAGGTTTAAACTCCGTGTTCTCCAAGCAGTTTTTATTCAGACCCCTACTCCCCTACCTTGTCCAAAGTCTTATCTCTTTCCCAAACTCTTGCAGCATAGTCCTTGGGACTTGGCCATGACCCTGTCAGAGACAGTCTCCTCTGAAAGTTCTCTGTGCTCCCCATGAGACTGCTGAGTGCAGCTCCTGCATTCCTCATCTTTTTTTTTTTTTTTTTTTTTTTTGGACAGGCAGAGTGGACAGTGAGAGAGAGAGACAGAGAGAAAGGTCTTCCTTCTGTTGGTTCACCCCCCAAATGGCTGCCACGGCTGGCACGCTGCGCTGATCCGAAGCCAGGAGCCAGGTGCTTCCTCCTGATCTCCCATGCGGGTGCAGGGCCCAAGCACTTGGGCCATCCTCCACTGCCCTCCCTGGCCACAACAGAGAGCTGGACTGGAAGAGGAGCAACCGGGACAGAACCTGGCGCCCCAACCGGGACTAGAACCCGGGGTGCTGGCTCCGCAAGTGGAGAATTAGCCTATTGAGCTGCAGTGGCCTGGCCTAGCACATGCGCCTGCAGAGGCACGCCTTGCCTGTTTTGGAGTGAATGCTTGGTTGAGAGGCTCATAGAGGAAGTAAACATCTTTAAGGCCTTAGGGTGAGGGGGTCACATCCAGCATGACTGATGTGAAGAGCAGAATCTGGAGGGAGACTGTGAAGGTGGAGGATGTTGAATTGAATCCAATGACACAGGGGACAACACTGTGGCCAGAACAGAGCAATGTTGCGTGTTGGTTGGGGAGGCTGGTATCTTCAACAGAGTGTATTTTCAGTAAGAATATTCAGGGACTGGCGCTGTGGCATAGTGGGCGAAGCTGCCGCCTCTAATGCCAACATTCCACATGGGTGCCAGTTTGTGCTCCGACTGCTCCACTTCTGATCCAGCTTCCTGCTAATGCGCCTGGGAAAGTAAAGGAAGATGGTCCAAACCCTGGAGCCATCACACCCACTTAAGAGACGTGGAGGAAGCTCCTGGCTTCAGATCAGCCCAGCTCCAGCCATTTCAGCCATTTAGGGAGTGAATCAGAGGATGGAAGACCTCTCTTGCTCTTTCTCTCTTTCTCTGACTGTTTCAAAATAAATGAATCTTAGAAAAAAAAAAAGAATATTCAAATGAGACTGTGTTTAGACTCCAGGAAACAAAAGGATCGTGTTTTAGGTGAGCTGGAGCTGGAGGGATGACTGCAGCCAGGTCTCAGGGTCAAACTCTAGTGGGTCAGCCCAGAAGAACAGTACCCCGCGGGCTAAAGGGGAAGAATGAATAGAAGCCTCTCAAAGTCAGCTTAGTTCTTCGAATCAGCCACCTGTATGCCGCAACTTACTCTTGAAATCTCTACACAATTTGTACCCTGGAGAAGGGGGAGGCACCAAGACTGGGGCACAGGGGCACAGCTTCCTAGGGAGGGGTGTTGTAGTCTGGCATTTCAAAGCGCCAGGGATGAGAGGGACTGTGGAAGCCCAGCCAGCTGCCCCTGTGGGCAAGGAAGCCACGTGCTGAGCGTGTGCTGTGGGACTCTTTTAGGCTGCTTCCAGTTGCACATAACTGGAGGCCCCCTCTGAGGGCCTTAAAGGCTACAGGAAGGCATTTCTCGCATCTCTGGAAGCCCAAGGTATTGGCAGCTCCGTCTGTTTCTTCACAGTTGACACTGACCGACCTCAGGCCCACCTTTGGGTGGGTTGTAGTCCTCTGGTGATGCTGAGGATGACCCACTGCAGGGGGCAGGGTGTCCAGTGCCACGATGAAGGACTTGATCTAGATGTGCTGACTCCTGGAGCTGGAGGCCCAGTCAGCGTTCCTGGAGTTCTGTGAACTGCCCGATGGTTTCCTGCAAAAGGGGTGTAGGAGGGAAGAGAGGGCCCAGCACATGGCCCAGAAAGCTCAGTTCCTTACTGGTCCTCAACAGCTCCAGCTTGGGAGCCACACAGCATTGCACAACTTACCAAATCTAAGTCAGCTGAAGGCTAAGTACTTCAAGGGCAGATATTTTAATTTTTTAAAAAATCACCCCTTTGGGTTGGGTATTGTGGCACAGTGGATTAGGCACCCTTTATGATGCCAGCATCCCATATCTGACTGCCAATGCAAACCCCTGTTTCTGATCCAGCTCCCTAGGAAGGCAGTGGAAGATGGCTTAATTGCTTGGGCTCCCACCACCCATATGGGAGACTTAGATGGAGTTTCTGGCCCCTGGCTTTGGCCTGACCCAGATGTGGCTTTTGTGTCCATTTGGGCAGATGGAAGATATCTCTTTCTCCTTCCTCCCTCCCCCCACCTCTCTCGGATGCTCCAATATGGCCTCTCAGGCTGCCCTCCCTGAATCTGTGCCAGCCGTGGGTTCAGCCCTCTCCCCCACACCTTTCCGTCCTTTCTCCAGTCCCTTCCCTCAGTTACCCACATGTTCTCTGGTCCTCTCTTTTCTTCTGCCAGTCTCTGCTGTTTCTTTCACAGACATCCCTGTCCAGGGCCCCAGTGTAGCATTTTTATTCTGAGTTGAAGCAGAAGGTTAGAACAATTGAAGATGTGCATGAAAATGTTTTTCCTGCCTGTTCTTTTTCAGGATTAGCTACTCTTTCTTGAGCAAACACTTCTGCTGAAGGTTGCACATGACATCATCATCGAAGTCCAGCAACACAACTGTGTGAAGGGCTCAGTAAGTGAGTGCTACAGCTGGTAAGTTGTCAGGGTTCTGGCTCTAGATTCCATGCTCTTGTCTTTTACAATCTTCTTCCAAAGTCTATCCCTTCAAGGGAAACTCAATACTACATCATTTTTCATCTCCAGCTGAACGAAGAAGACCAGCATCTCCCACCCACCAAAGAGGCTCTAGTGTTTTCTAACTACTGCATTTGATGCAGTTTGTCCTGGCACAGTACATTCTGTACAATGGGGATGATCTGGCTACTGTCCTCATTGGTGTGGATCTGCAAAGACAGGGGGTTAATTGGGCCTCTAACGTGTTTCTATACATGATTGGAAAAACCTAGCATGGCACCAGGCTCTTCTTCAGGACTGACACCAGCCATCCTGGAGGGTGCTGTGGTCTCACAGTGCAGTGCCTTTGTAACTAATGAGCAAAGCAGGAAAGAGACAGAGGAAGATTGCCTCAGCTGATTGCTTTATCTTGCTGGAGTCTGTGGTTTATGGTCAAAGCTCTTGCATCTGTAGACATCACATACACTGCATATGCACAGTCATCCCTTGATGTGTGCACGGGATTGGTTCTGGGACCCCTTGAAGATACCAAAATCTGCACACACTCAGGTCCTTCATATAAGGTGGCATAGTGTTTGCATATAGCCTATACATACCCTCTCATGTAATTTAAATCATATCTATGCTATTTAAAAAGCAAGGTAAGTAATTTGTAAAGGGTTGATACATTGCAGTCTGTGGATGTGGAACTCACAGATGCAGAAGGCTGATTGTGCACTTTGCAGGCTGAGAGTGTTGCTTTTAATGAAATGATGTGTCCTGGTGTGTAAGGAAGGGTCTGGTGTCTGTGGCTCTCTTGCAAGGAAAGCTTTCACTCTTCTTCCTCACGTAGATGACAGGTACCAAGTTAGTTTTATTCCCCAAGAAACAATAAGCACTGTTTTTTACAGTGTACCTAGATTGCATGAGCAGCTCAATATCTTTTCAATAAATGGTTACTTACTTTCCATTGGCCAGAGCAGATTTCTGTTGTTTGTAAGCAAAGGGAACTAATGGATACCTGAATACATGATGGTTGCTGATGGTTTAGAAAGCACAGAAACACAGAGCTTCATCACTTGGTTGTCACAGACATGAAACATCGCCCCAGCATCCTGGCCTGTGCCTCGGTGATGGAGGAAGCCACTGGGAGTGTCTGGTCCAGAAAACCATTCCAGGGATACCCAGATAAACTCATCTACCCTAAGAGGAAGGCCCTGTGGAAATAGACAATGTTGTAATGATCAATGCAGATAAAGAAAAAGGGGTAATGGTTTTTCAGTGAGGGTCAGGAGTGGGGTTTAGAAAAACCACATTTGTGTCCTGAGAGCATATCTATAGATACTTCCGTTCCCTCCCTCTGTGATTCCTTTCTGTATCTTAGGGCAGCCAGGGGATTGATACTAAAGACTTTTTTCCCCAACCTAGCCAAGGGAAGGCTTGTGGGCATGGGAGGTCTGCTTGGAAAGCACACCAGGGTTTGGAAATACTGGAACCACCAGGGTCATCATGCACCCTGTGCTCCCCACTCAGTAGGTTGGAAAGATGAGGCTGAGGCAAGGCAGCCTCCATGCTTGGCCACCTCCACTGGGGTGCTGGTGGTCCTTCTTGCTGTGTCTGCCTCATGGCAGCTATGGCTCAGAGCTGCAACCTTGTGTGGAGGTTCTTCTGTTCAACATCATTGAGCCACGGTGACTGACAGACGTGAACCACCCTGGAATACACAAAAGTGAGAGAAGGCAAAAACAAAGACATGCTTGTGGGTGGCTGTGTCCTCAAATTCCCATGCTGTTGAGCTTGACCCCGTCACCCATGGTTCCCAGAGCCACACTGTCAGCACTGTGCCTGGGAATAACTAATTGTCTGGGGCCTTGGCCCATTGCAAGTACATCATTGTACTTACCCGAACACAAACAGACTGAAGGCAGTTATGGAGGAAGAAATATAACTTGACTGTGCCTTGAACTGGATTTATAGGCGTGAGGTTAGCAATAGAACCGCAAGGAGTTTGGTGATTAGAGTTAATGGAGTGTTCGAATGAATTGATTTTTTTCCCCATGTACTTGCAGGCTTTTCGTTGTGGTCTCCGTTTTGTGCCTTCTTGGTTTGAGTGAAAAGTTCTTCTAGTTTTGTCTAAATTCAAATGCTAGAGTCAGGTTTCTGGTGAGGACAAGACCATTGACGTCAACAGTCACTGATGTAGCTGGCGTTAGAAACAAAATCCTAGTCTAGAACCACGCCAGCCAGAATGGCCTTCATGTGTGATGACAGCCAGGCAAAAATGCGCATAAGAAGGGAGAAACCAGCCACTTGTCTGGATGTTCCCAAATTGTCATATTCTCATGGCCTGGGCATGAGGTGGCCCTCCTTTCCTGGAGCCTGCACCTTTATAACACCTGTGCCTGCCTCGTGGGGGTGCCCGGCTGCTCCCCAAGACAGGCTGAATGAGTGCCCAGTGTCTGCACTGAAACCTCAGACAACTTCCCCTGGCCTGCAGGTTACTGTAGGTCACGTTTCCTCAGGAATTGTTAGCAAAAGGAAGCTCTCGGAAGACTTTGGACACTTCTCTGGGTGTTTTTACTTGGTTTGTGAAATGATATTGTTTCAATAATTTCCTAGATCAGCTTCACACACTGTTAGAATCACAGTGCACTAAGAGTTGTGCCCTATCTGGATGTGTTATATAAAAGATCAGCACTTTCTGGCACAAAAATAGTGCACTTTTTTAAAAAGAATTATTTATTTACTCAATAGGTAGAGTTACAGAGAGAGGGAGAGACACAGAGAGAGAGGTCTTCCATCTTCTGGTTCACTCCCCAGGTGGCCAAAATGGCTGGGCCTGGGCCTATCCAAAGCCAGAAACCAGGAACTTCCTCTAGGTTTCTGATGTGGGTGCAGGGGCCCGAGCACTTGGGCCATCTTCTATTGCTTTCTTAGGCCATAGCAGAGAGCTGGATCAGAAGAGGAGCAGCCGGGACTTGAACCAGTGCCCATATGAGATGCCAGCACCACACACAGAAGCTTGACCCCTACGCCACAGTGCTGGCCCCGACAGTGCACTCTTGATGACATGTTGAGTACCAGGGAGTGGGGCTTCTTCATCCTCTCCATCCCCAGCTTAAATAATAACAAAAAAGTGCTAGCAGAATTTTAAATGAAGGCTTTGATGTTTAAAATCTGCTAGCCTGTATCTCAAAAGTACTACATGGTATGGAAAGAAAATGTCAAGCATCTCATCCCTCATTCAAAGTGATCGATATGTGGTATATGGTCAGTGGGAGACGCTGGGCCCTCCTTTGGCAAGGGTGTCATGGATGCCAGTCTCAACTCCGGGAACTTCTGGCCTCTGCAGAGCTCACAGCACTTGACCCTGACCTGAGGTTGCGTTTTCCAAGAAGGAACGGAGCCCTCACAGACCCAAATGGTGTTAAAACTTTTCCTTTAGACTGCTTAATTTGTATGAAGAGAGAGCTCCTTGTTAAACCAAGAAAATAAGCTAGATTTCCCAGGAAACCTCATCCGGGACATTGGAAAAGGACAGAGCATGGAGTTGCACACAGGTGTGGTGAGCTGGCTGCACACACGTGCGCTGGCTGGGAAGCTGATGAGTCCTCTCCTCTCACGGGCACCCTTGGTCAGGGCACCCAGGTCAGACTCCTGCTGCCAGTGGAACCCCCACAGGCTGCCAGTGGGTCCCATGTGTTTTCCCTCCTGGGAACAAAGCCTCCTCTGTTTCACGTGGGTGCGGGGAGCCCTGCTGCTCTCGGGGGTGGTTGGCCTGCTGCCCCTGCAGGTGTTAATGAAGCACAAACCTGCTTGGGGCTGGCATAGTGGCACAGCGGGTTAAGCTGCTGCTTGCAACACCAGCATCCCATACTGGAGCGCTGCTTTGAGTTCTGGCTGCTCCTCTTCCAGTCCAGTTCCCTGCTAATTCACCTGGGAAGGCAGTGGAAGACAGCTCAAGTTCTTGGGCCCCTGCCACCCAAGTGAGAGACTCAGGGAGAGTTCCTGGCTCCTGGCTTCAGCTTGGCCCAGCCCCAGGCTTTGTGGCCATCTGGGGAGTGAACTAGCAGATGGAAAAATCTTTCTCTGTCTCTGTCACACTGCCTTTCAATTAAATAAATAAATAAAATCTTAAAAGAAAAAACAGCAAAGAACCAACCAGCTGCGGAGGCCAGGCTCTGCTCAGTGATCCATCTTGTGTGCCCTAGGGGTTACCCCACACCGCCGCTTCATCCTCTCAGAGCTCTGCATGGCACGAAGGGGCTCCCCACTTTCTAGATAAGGCATCTGAGGCAGGCCCAGGAGAGGCTGGGGAGCCAGGCCCAAACCCCCACACCTGGGCTGTGGTGAAGATGGGGTTTAAGCACAGATCTGCTCGGCTCACCTTATGCTCTTTCTCCCAAGGTGCACTGGTGCTCAGGGGCGGGAGGAGGCAGCAGAGTGTGGCAAACATGGCTGCATGCTTCCCATTATCCAGGGACCACGTTTTCCTAAACCTGTGCCTTGGATCACTGCCACTGAACGAGGTGATATCGGCGGCCGTATCGTTACTAGGTAATAATGCAAAGTCAGGGAAACAAGCAATAAGATGACTAATGTGAGAAAAGCTGGGGTGGTGTCTGCACCGCCAGTGATTCATTTGAATTTACCAGGACATCAGATGGCTGGGGGCCGTGACAAGCACATTTACTTCTGCACATGGGTGCATTCGGCCAGCACCCCAAGTCCACTGTGCAGGTGCCCCTGTGCACTGGCTGTCTCTGTGCGAGTGCTGTGGCTCGGGGCCTCCTGAGTGTGCTGTGTCTGTGTGGCGCTTGCTGTCCAGGATCTAGCCCATGGCCCCTCCAGATGTTCCGTCCTCCCAGCTGTTGGTGAACCTGTTGCAACCGCAGAGATCTGACTCACAGGAAAAGCTTGACTCTGGGGCCCACTTGCCTCACCGCTAACTCGTTCCCATGTTCCTCCCATCTGGGCCT